CCCCAAAACCCCAAAACCCCAAAACCCCGAAGATCTATAATTTAGAGGAATGTAAAATTTTAAGGCATCATATTTACTATGAATAATTATAATATCATCTATATTTTTATTCAATACTTTGTAGAAAGAGTTGAGTTATCTTCGTTTATCATTATTTGTTAAAATCAAGTCCATTTCCTGCTTTATCCTACTTTATTCTTTCTTTATACTGATTTAGTCTCCCGTGGAAGATATTCGCTCCACTCGAATCCTTAGATATTTTTTGCTTTTTACCCCCGCTACTTGTTCCCTAGAACTCTTGGACGAACTTCTTCTCCATTTGTTTATAGTTGTCAGAAATAACACTATCTAGTTCATCTCTCTGATCATCTACATACCACTCTGGCTCATCATGATATTTATGATGCATCACTCTGAATTTAGCTTTTTCTTAACCTTTCTTTAAAGTCGTCTTTCTACCCTTTGTTGCAGGCTCTAGTCTTTGCAAATAGATGTTTTCTAAACCTCTGACTTTAAGGGAATTCATAACTTAGAACTGACTTCTAGCACTCTTGCCACTTCTCTAAGAGTCTTTCTCCCAATCGCTTAATTAGGTTAAATCTGCTAAGCCTCTAGCAGTACCATATATTCTATCAAGTTCTGGATCATTGGTGGCACCTTATAGATTTCCTAAAGCGAAACCAGCTGTATCAGGTGGTCTTCTTTAGTATTATTATTTAAGTTCCTCTAATGGTCCTGGGGGCTATGGATCGCCTCTTCTTCGGCCTAGATTTTGAGCGAAATTCGACTCATGAGTCGATCTCATTAATGAATGCTCGCTGCCTTCTTTATAGAATCCAGACACTGAGTTGGCAATTAATGATAATCTCCTATCTCTATCAGCAAGACCTGGATTTTATTTTTCTGAAGCTTCGCTCTCTCCTTTATCACTCATTAAATTATTTTTCTTAAGCTAATACTATGATGAAGGCAATCCATCTTTATTTAGTCTTGATGTTGTTTTGTTCATATTATTACCAGCTGCTCTTGTAGTAGAAGTACCATGTCTAATTTAAGCTGTTTAAATGCCATTCATGTTTATCCTATTTCCTCCTTGACCATGGTGCACACTTTCTGCTCCACCTAGTTCGGAAATAAGGTCATCTGCTCCCATCATACTATTATTTCTGTTGCCTAATTATCCTCCAGCAAGAGCTCTCTTACTTTAAACTGTAGTCATCCTTGTGTTGCTTGCATTTCTTTAGATGGGTGGCTTAGCTCCCATCATACTGGTGCTCGTTTAACCCATTTAAGCAGCCATATTCTGAGCATCCTTAAGTTTCTTGTTTGCTACTATCTTATCATATTGAGCTTGGGATAAGCTACCATATGCAACTGCCATCTTAAGCTCACGGAGATCTATTTCTTTTTCTGGCTTCTTCTTCTTCTTCTTTTTCTTTTTCTTAAGTTTCTTTCCTGGAAGATATGAATATTCACTCTCAAATTCATCATCCTCAACTACTTTAGGATGATTTCTTAAGTTCAATCTGGCTTAGTTTTTAATATCTTCTACTTCATTGAATCTTTGATTAAGAACATTATAATTGCTTGGAGTATCCTCCATCTGACTTTCAACTGATGTATTTCCCCCGTCATTATCAGAGTTTCTTCCATTGGCAAGCTTTTCAACTTCTCTCATCAGCATATCATCATCATCATTGTCTTCTTCGACAATCTTATCAATTCTTTTCTAAAGTCTTTCATTTTCTTTAGCCATCTTATTTTTCATAGCTTATCTTCTTGGGTCATCTATATCCATCTCTTGCATTCTTTCTAAGTCTTCGATTTCGCTCATAAGTTATGAGAATGAATCGTAGGTATCTTTTCTAAGTAAACCAGTTCTGAATACCTTAGGAATATCTCCATCTTCTAATAGCATCTTGCTGAAAACTCTGTGACCTCTCTTGTTTCTAATATGTCCATCTTCATCTATCAAATACCCTTTTTCATTTACCTTTCTGCCTTTGGAATCAACAAGATCTCCATCTCTTGTTCTTTGAAGCATTGGGTTGCTTAATGGATCTAACTCATAGTCACCCTTAATGTCATCAATGTTAAACTTAAGGAATGGGAATAGTTTAGGAATTTCATTGTCTTTAGAAAGCGAGAATAGCTCAAACATGATTTTACCATCTTTATTAATGACATTACCGTCCTTGTCAATTAGATAGCCTTTGTTATTAACTCTTCTTCCTTACTTGTCTACCATTTGGTTATCCTTGTCTCTTCTTATGATGATGTTTCCATTTCTGTCTTTATCGAGGTTACCCATTACATCTTAAATATCGAATTTCTTTCCCTTGTAGTTAAATAATAAAGGAATGTCGCCATTATTTTGCTCCATAATAGACTTGTGAAGTTTTACTCTGCCCCTCTTATCAACTAGATTCCCATCATTGTCTACTAGATAACCTAACTCATTAACTCTTTTTCCTTATTTATCTATAAGGTTTCCATAGCCATCTTTCCTATTACCGATTATTTCATTTCCATCGGCATCTCTGTCAAAGTAACCACGGACGTCATGAATGTTAAAGTTAAACCTTTCTAAGTTATAAGGTGGAGGAAGTTCTCCTCTCTCATCAAGTTCTTTGGCATCAAATACTTTCTTTCCTCTTTCTTTTTCAACAACATCTCCAGTCTTTTCATCAACCAGATAACCCTTTTCATTGACTCTGTTTCCCTCTTTATCTATCAGATTTCCAGTTTTATTCTCTTAGAGAATCACCAAATTACCTTTTTCATCTCTGTCAAAGTCTCCCAAAATGTCATTAACGTTGAATCTCTTTTTATCAAGGTCTCTCATATTTGCAATTCTCTAATCATCATCATCATCGCTATCAGGCTCACCTAGTTCTTCTCCCTCTACATTTTTAATAATCTCTTCTTCTTCTAAATGAAAATTGGGAGCTGGGACATTTAGAGCATTCTTGAATTCATTTTCTATTTCGTTTTATACTTCAATAGTAGATTTAAAGTTAGGATTTGTTCCGTCTATGTCTAGACCATCTTATAGTAATTTATTAGGAGATCCTAAGCCATTTCCAGGGGCTGCCTCAACCATTGCACCCTCTCCTTTTGCTTCTTCAACTTCAAAAAGCTAGTTTTCATCTTCCATAAGCAGTTAAGCGGCATCGTCATCTTCAATTACACTCATCTGATTGTTAGCATTTAGATTATCTTCAACTATTTAATCTTCTAGCTTGTTAAGTTTATCTTCTTCATGATCTAAGGTATGATGACTTTCTTCCTCAATCATATCTAGCTTTTAATCTTCATCATCTAAGTCATCATCATCATCTTTTATCATATTCTCTTAATCCTAGAGGAATGACTAGTCCTCATCATCTACCTGCTCATAATATTTACCCTTACGACCTCTAAGTCTTCCTTTCTTCTTATCACCTGGCCTTTTCAAATCTTCATCTAAAGTATCCTACCCAAGTTTACTAAGGTATCTTGAGTCGCCCCTTTCATCAGCTGGGTTTCTTCCATGGAATAGTTCTCTAATTCTTCTATCGTAGTCTTTGTCATAGTCCTCTCCATTCTAAGCGAATTCTCCATATTAAATGACTTTTACAGCTCTCCTAGATGGATCGACAGTTGCGGGCTCTCCCTTTCCAGATTCAGCATAACAGTTGTCAGGATGCTTATCAATCTCAAAGCCCTCATACTTCTTCTTCTGATTTTTATCCAGAGGGTCAGTGTTTAGTCTTCTCTCATCTACCTCTCTTGTTCTATCTCCAAGATGACCCATTGATTCTCCTCTCTTGAGATTTTTCTTAGGCATATTTGCTGCAGCTTCGAGAGCCTTTTAATTCTTAAGATTTTCAATGAATTCTTCCATAGAAAGCCCACCAAATCTCTTTCTAATTTCTTCTTCCATTCTTTTCATTATTTAGTCCTCAATCGAACTCTAATCTCCAACTGCTGAGTAGAGTAAATCATCAGGTCTATAGAGTTTGAGGATATTTTTCTGCTTTTTAATTTCCCAAACTGTAAATGCAAACACTATTAATGCTATGATCAAAGTCTCAATCTATATCATGTAGAATTGTGATCCCCATTTGTACATATAGAGGCCATACAAATCTACAGCACAGATCGGCACTAATGTTATCACTATGTTTATAATTGAAAGAATGTTCAAATAGTGATGAAGTTTGTCAAATTTTTCGAAAGGAACAAAGAAACTTCTCCAGCCAAAGAATTTACTATAAAGGAAATTTCCAACTTTAAAAGATAAGGCTGAACCCACAATAGCAATTGCTAATGGGACTGCTTAGTGAAGTCTTTTGTGTCTTATATAGCCTGAGTCATTTCTGATGAAATGCATATGTAAAACGAAAAATGCAATGTTTGTTCCAATCAGTCCTGCTATGCCGATAGCAGTTCCATAAAATACAATTGGGATGACTTCCCCCTCAAAGTATTTAAGATATGCTACTTCTCCTAAAAACCTTCTACTCGTCACTGTTGTAGTTGAATCATCAACAGCATACTAAATATTAGTAATCCAGGCATAAGCCAAGAAGAGCTAAGCGGCATATGCAATCGTTTCTACAGGACCCCATAATGCTATTGCATTTGAGGTTATCAATGAACTTTTATCCTTAAACCAACTTGCTACAGCAACACCTCCTAGGAGTAGTGTCGTGATAAGGAATGGGAAGAATGCATATATATTGTTATATGGGTTTATCTCTTTAAGAGCTACACCAGTCCCGCTTGGTGATTAGCATGTTATGTTCTTTGAATCAGGGTAATAGCCCGTTGGACAGCTAGTGAAGCAAGTATTGTTAAATAAGATCATACCCTTTTTACATAGCAGACATTAAGCAGTCACAGTTGGGGAGCATATTTAGCAATTTGGATCGCAAGCCACACATTTTCCATTTTGGAATATTGAGCCATTAGGGCATTCATCTATACACTAAGTACCATATAAATAGCCTGTGCTGCAACTTGTGCACGAAGTCTAAGTTGCTGCACATGTTGCGCAAGGTTAGGTACATTGCTTACATGTAAATCCAACTGCAACAGATCCAGTTTCACAGGAACTTTGGCATCTTCCATTTTGGTTGAAGAGAATAGGAGCAGCACAAGTTGTACAATTAGTAGCTGAGCCACTGCAAGTCAGGCAGTTTGAGTTACATTTTGTGCAAGTATTAGATAAATTGAAATAACCAACTGGGCAAGTAGCCAAGCAAGTATTGTTCAAGAATAATTTGTATAAGCTTGATGCAGCTGTATCGCATGTTTTGCAATCAGTAGCATTATAGCATGTTTTACAGGTGGTAGGACAAGTTTTACAGAAGAAGGCAGAGTCATAAGTGCCGTCAGGACAAGCTGCAAGACAACTAGTGTTGTTATGATACTTCAAAGTTGTTGATGAATCAGTGAAGCAAGACTAGCACGAAGTCTTGATTGTCGATGAGCAAGTTCTGCATGGTAGAGTGCACTCAAAATTTGGTATAATTGAGCCAGCTGTATCAATAGAATCTGTTAGCAAAGAATTTATATAGGTCACAAAGGAAATTGCATCTGAATTTAAAGTCGCTGGATTCGTTATTGGTGTTAAGGTAATAGTAACTGATTTGCCAGCTGGTATCTCAAAGCTTGGGTCTTTAGTTATTTTGATAGAATTATTATTGAATTTCTCGACATCAAATGTCGTTAAACTTCCATAGTTGATTTGGCAGGTGATCGAAGAACCTAGTGTAATGCTAGTAGGGAAGCTCATTAGGATTCCAAATCCTGAAGGCATGTAATTAATAGTTGTGAATGTGATAGAATATTTAGTTGCTATTGCATAGTTTTTATTTTCCTAGACTAATGCTTTAGTAATTACTGTGGCTGATGTAGTAGTCCTAACTGTAGTTGTACCCTTAAAAATGCTTGTTACCTTATCAGCAGAAGTTAATGTCTAAACATTAGTGAAAGCACTTGTTGTGAGAGTGCTTGGAGGATTTATGATATCTGAGATTTTAAAGGCAAACTCAGTTAGAGCAGCATAAGGACTTGATGAGAAAGTTAGAGTGCATTTCATTGTATAACTTGATCTTGAACATGAGACTGCTGATAATCCTGATACAATAGTTGAAGTATGAGATGATTGTGCAAATTAGTTCTGACTAGGGAATGTAAATTATATTTTATCTCCTGATTCCATTGGTGTTTAAGTCCTAACTCTAAAGGTGTATTCATTAGTTGCTCCGTTTATGGCACTGGCAGTTGAAACTGTAAATTAAGTCATTTCTGAACTAGATTCCATTTATGTAGTAACTTTTTCCTAAGAACTCTCTATTGGACTGTTACTAGCTGATAATGTTGTTATGGTAAATGCAGCTGTGATATCAGTTGTCTTAGGATTACGAATTCCATCTAGTTATAATAAGAAAGCAGTGTTCATTGTTGTGAAAGCTGAGGTAAATGCGCCAGTTATAGTCACAAAAATATTTGTTGATACTGGTTTAGTGACTGTACATGTTACACTTCTAGAACTTCCTCCTATTACAGCTCTGCAAGCAGTAAAATCTGAAGATCCAGTAGGGAATGTAACTGTTGCTGGAAATGTTATAGTTACTTTACCCCCAGTTTCTATCACTTTCTTAGGAGTTAATTCAAATTCATATGTCGTTGGAGTATTGCTTGTAACCTTAGAATTTGGGGTTACTTTTGCTGTTAGTTCAGATGGCGATGGAGTATAGACCCCTGATATTGACTTTTCATCGATTGGATAGGGCGAACCACTTTTTATAGAGAATGTCTATATTAAGAAAGACCCTGCATCCTAAACAGCATCAGGATTCTTACCTCCTGTACTAAAAATGAATGAAAGAGGTGAACCATTTTTAGTATAAGATCCCGTTCCAAAAGGATTCATTATTGTTATCATATTGCTAATGACAGTGCAACTTTGATAGTTGCTACTTAGTCCTCCACTTAAAGAAGATAAAGTACATGCTGCTTGATCTGTGAGAACGATTGAGTCAGGAAATAAGACTATTAGCTTAGATTCTACAGGAATATTATCGCTAGGAGTAAAAGTCACCTTAAAAGTAGTGTATGTCTAAACTTCATATGAGTCAACAGCTGTAACCGTGATGTCGTCTATAGATCCTGTCGAGAATGATGAAGCTGGAACGAAAACATTTACTTTATCTTGAGCTATCTTGTAAAGAGTTTAGCCAACCACATCATAAAGTTCAAGAATAAAGGGGGATGTATCCATTATGTATCCAATATTAACAAGTTTACTAAGATTAATAACTGCTTAAGAGCCAACATCACTATAGGTGTCACAGCCATCTAATTCCAAATAGTTAGCAGCTGTGTCTTTAGTCTTAAAAGTAGAGGTAGTTTAAAAGAGATTCAATCCACTTACAGTCTGCAAATCACTAGTAATTGGCATTTCTGAAGGAAATAATAGTTTGAGTCTGCATCCAGAGTCAACTGGGAAAGCTAGATTAAAATTCAAGGTGAAAGCTGAAGCCATAGCTACTTATGTTACGCCATCTGCTCTCTGTATAGCAGGCTAACTGAATTTTCCCCAATCACTAACTGTGAGTGTTAGAGAGTTGCTTTAATCTATTTAGCATCCTGAACTATCTAATGTTGTCAATACGAATCCAGTTCTAGGGGCTGTTGAGAATGGATTTTTCATATCACTAATAGAGAATGTCAAAGTTGTTCCAGAAGGCTGTGTGCTTGTAGAAACACTGTTAATAGCTAATAGTCTATTTGAATCTAAAGAATAAGAGCAACTTAAGCCTCCATTAAGGGGACTTGTTCCTGTGCATGTCGGTATCATAATGTCTAAATAATGCTTATACTAACTTGCGTCTAATGCATTTGGATTCCAGTAAGGTAATACTAGTGATAATTAACCAGAAGTAGGCAGACTGCTTTTCAAAGTAAAGGCTATAGTCATAGTCACTCCGAAATCTCCAACAACTTAGCTACTGGATGTGATTGTAGCGGAAGTCATTAGTGCTGGAGTAAAGCCACTAATTGAGGTAGTTGTCAATTATGCTACTTAATTACCAGAACTATCAACGAGTGAAGTTATTACATTATTTATTGCACAGGTTGATGAAGGATTGTTGAAATTTCCTACACTAACTGTAAAAGTAGTGGTAGTCGTGCCAGTTACAGATATTTTAATTGCTACGTAATTTGCTGTGATGACACATTACTGAATAGAAATAGTACTAGTTGACTAAAAAATAAGAGATTTAATAATTTTAATATTTTCTTACACTGGTGCACATTGAAGCAGAAGTAGAAGGAGTAAATGACCCTGGACTAGGAACGTAAAATGTGATAACTGAGTTTGTTGAGTATTTAAGAGTGGAAGGTAGAGTAGCAACGAAATTCAACTTATTGCTTGTGACGCTGACTGTTTTAGTCTATGGCGTGCTGGTCACAGTCTAGAATTAATCTGGAGTACAGAACACGCATTAGAAGTCCTTTGAACACATTCCCAGTGGGCATGATGCATAGCACCATCCTTCAAGCAAATATGGATATGTAGATGATGTATCGCAAGAGGTGCAAACTGTATTGCTAGAGCAAGTTTTACACACTGATGGACAAGAGTAGCATTTGAAGTCAGTATCTGCAAATGTGCCTGATGGACAATTCTTAAGACAAGTAGTGCCAGATAAGTACTTAAATAACTCATCAGTTACATCAGTAATGCAAGAAAGACATTCAGTTTTAGTGGCTGTACAAGTGGCACAAGGATGATCGCAATCAAATTCAGGAACTAATCCTGTCTTTATTGTATCTACTTAATACAGGAAATTAGATGCAGTATAAGAAACTAAAGTCAATGTCTAAGCGTTTTATTGAGTGTTAGGGTTGGTAACAACACTAAACTTTATCTAAATCACGGATCCTGCAGCAGCTGCTGCACTAAAACCTGAATTCACACTAATAACTCTAGATGCTGAATCAAGAGTGCAAGACATTGGGTATGTATTGGCTATCATAAAAGATAAAATTAAAGTTTAATTTACAATTGAAAGTTAACTCGCAGGACGCTAAACTTGTAATGGTAACTGTTTAAGGATAGTTTATCTTAAAAGCAGCATCTGCAACCATTGCATTAATAGTCGTATACTATATTGTATATGTTGTATGTGCAACTAGAGCTTTGCTTCCTTAGATAAGAGACTTGGTTACTACTGTAGCTGGAGTTGTCATTTATACCGTTGGTGATCCAACAAACTAAGTGAGCTAAATGTCAGTTGTGTCAGCCATTATAATACTTGTGAAGGGAGATGTTGTCTACGTGCTAGGGGGATTCACGACACTATTGACTGAGAATGAAAAAGCAGTATTAGGATTGAGTTCACCTCCAGAAACAGTTAAAATTGCTTTGACAGTATTAGTTCCGGATTTTGTGCAACTTACAGCAGTGACTAGAGTCCCTGTTGAACAAGTTACAGTACTAGGCAAAGTTGTTTAACTTGGGAAAGTAAATGTTATAGAATCAGTGCTCATTATTGGAAGTGTAGCTTTAACCTGTATTACATAATTAGTGGAATCACCGTTCGTGAAGCTTTATGGAGTAACTGTGAATTCAGCTAGATTTGGTGTCGAAGTCATTTACACTGTAATTCCGGAAGATTAAGCCTCGATTGCATAACTATTTGAATCTTAAGTCTTGATTTAGAAAGATGAAGTGATGGCCTTTGTTCTGGGATTAAATAGTCCTCCAAGTATAAGCTGAAATGGAGTGCCAGTAGTGCTATATGATGAGCTTGTGAATCCATCTAAGATCTTGACTATTACTGGACTAGTCTGTGTTACTGTGCATTGAGTTAGGGTTGATGTTATTGAATTTTTAACTATTTAACAAGATGATAATGCCGATGAGACTAGCTTAATCTCCGTTGGGAATTGAATATATACAATACCATTTATAGCTATCACTTTATTGGGGGTTATCTCTAGGGTATAAGTTGTGGGGCTGAAGTAAGTCTCAAAAGAGGATATTGATTTGACTGTTGCAGAAAGCACAAAGGCTGTAGGGATGTAGATTGAAGAAGCTACGATCTCATCTATATCATAGTTAAAGCCCTCAATAATAGTTTGAGTCAAGGCAGTGAACTCACCCGCATCTCTTACTGAATCTGGGTTAGTACCTCCTGTACTAAAAATGAATGAAAGAGGTGAACCATTTTTAGTATAAGATCCCGTTCCAAAAGGATTGGTGATGGTAAGAACGTTAGATGCTACTGTGCAAGCACCTGGAGAGGTAGAAATTCCACCGCTGACACTTGTGATGGTACAAATGGTTTAATCTGTAAGTGTAATACTGGATGGAAAAGTGATGATTATTCTTGAATCCTTAGGGATGGAGTGAGCGGGTTACATAGTTATTTTAAATCTAGTGGTAGCTTATATAATTTATGTATCAGCAGCAGCAACAACAAAAGAGGTAATAGTGCCTTTTGTGAATTAAGATGCTGTCATTATAATTCCAGTTGTTTGACGAGCAATTCTATAAGTAATGCTGTTATATACAGCATATAACGAGAACTAAAATGTTGATATATCTTTGACTTAAGCAGTGTTAACCACATTAAAAAGCTATATAAAACCTGTGGTAGTAGCATCCACTATTGTATCTGGACAACCATCTAGCTCAATGTAGTTAGAGGCTAGATTGAATGTTTTCTATGTAACAGTAGAGAATAGATCAGCACCTTGGTAATTAGTTAGGTCATTAGTTAAAGGCATATCGCTAGGAAAGTCTATTCTTAACCTACAATTTTGCTCTACAGGCAATTCTAGTTGGAACAAGACAAGTCCAGCTGATGGTTCGTTCACAGTGCTCATGCTATCTCCACGACTATAGGTAGCTGATAAGAAAGTAGCCCACTCAGTGACTGTTATCGATAAACCAGTTCTCTGATCAATTTGAAATCCATTTGTGTCAGCTGTAGAAATAATGAAACCTGACTTAGGCACTCCTGAGTATGGATTTAAGAAACTGTCAACTTTGAAGCTTATTGAGGTACTGCCACCACTGATGTCACTGTTCAGCATATTCGACAATGTTAACCTCTGGTTAATCTGGTTGTAGGAGCACGTGATACTTGATTTCATGTTAGTTACTCCTGTGCATGTAGGGCTTGAGCTCTAAATCATATGTATTTTAGAGGATGACAATGGGTTCCAGTATGGGAAATCAACATATATTCTTCCATTTGAGCTTAATGCATTCTTTGGTGTTAATGAGACCAAAATTGAGGCTGCATTATCACCAATTAGCATAGATTGTGGGGTGATTGATGCTGCGTTCAATGAATCTGTAGTGAAACTATTGATGACAGTATTGCTTCTTGTAGCCTTAGAAGTACCAGTAGATGACACAAGAGATGCTGAAACTCCTGATATACTAGAAGTTGATGGTGGGTTGATAAAACTCTGCACGTTTATCTGCAAGGTCTGTGAAGATGATACCACGGCCAAAGTAAGAGCGACTTGATTTGCTGTTATTATACATGCTGAAACTGAAATTGCAGAGGTTTGCTAAGAATAGACAATTAGTAAAAAGAATAATAAGAAATTCTTATGTCAGAATAGACAATATTGACATAATTGGAGCTTTAAACTTACAGATATACAATTTGAAACGCTAGTAGATGTGACAAAAGAACCAGGAGATGGAATCGTATAGGTCAGTATATCACCAGAGGCATAGTTAGTTCCAGAAGGCAACAGAGTGAAAACAGATATTGTGGTAGTGGCACCCACTGTCTTGACCACTGGGTTCGCCGAAAAGGCCGAGAATGTTACTTGGGCATTCACAATTGTTTCTTATTGTAATTTAAAAAGGAAGATTTAGGTTACCTTATCATAAGATAGAAAATATTGCTGCAAATAATATATAGTGACTAATGAATTGTGTTTTAGTTTTTTTAAAGCCAGAGCTTTGCTTTTCTTGCATTTTTAAATGCATATATTATTTTATTCTAATCTTTACCTCAATAATTTTTAAATTCTAACCAATCGGGGTTTTGGGGTTTTGGGGTTTTGGAT